TATAAACCACACGTCTCCGATCCCGGAGTCCCCGGCAGGACGTGGTTAAGGGAATTCACACGCCAGGGCTTAATAAAACGACAATGGTACCTCCCTTTTAGGGAAGGGAAGATTTTTTTTATGGATGAAAACATTCGAGCAAACCTAGCATGTCATTGGTATGCCAAACGTGTGACCTAAAGTAAAGCTGCTCCTCACACATAAGAACAGGTGCAAAGGGATGATTGATTATCAAATATTCCAACAATACACATACAGCTGTTGAGGCCTATACCTATGCAGTACCCTGACCACAGATCTATGATGAACTTAAATTTTCTTCACAATGAAGCACTAAATTTTGTTGAGTTGGACACTAAAAATAACATAAAACGGCACCATTTCAGTGTTCCATGAACATCAAGCAGTTTGAAGTATAAGAACGTCATGAGTTCTGGGGTACAAGTCAGATACAGCCAGTGACCGTTTTGGATAGCGAGGGGGAGGGTCTGTCCTTACCACAAGGTTGAGTTCTTCAAGAGACCAGCTGTTAGCTTGAGCCACAAACTGCCTGGTAGCAGTGATGTAAGCCTCTGGTGTGAATAGTCCACCCAGCCACACATCTTGAGTCTGGGGACAACACAAAGGGAAAAACCAAATGCTATCAATAACAGGTCAATTACTCATAATGACTTCACAGTTGAAAACAGACAAGATAGTCTGTGAGCATGGCTCTTTTCTGCACTACCAAAGATCCTGACATGGGCAACGATACCTTCAGCTCCTTGGCTCCACCGCTACTTGCTGCAGTAGCTATCTTTTGTAGCTGCTTGACTCTCTCACTGAAGTCTGACACCCACTGGATGACGGTCAGACCGGCAGGCACAGTGTAGCGATTCCAACTCTTTGGCAGAATTCCCTTGGCTAGGTCGCCGATCAGCTCACGGTCATGGTTGGTCTGCTTCTTCTTGCCTTCACAGACCAGGACTACATTCTGCAGGTCGGTGCGTACATCACGCAGCAAAGTGGCACCGTGGTTGATCTCCCGCTCAAAGAAGCGGAACAGGGGGTCCTTGATGTTATCTGCTGTACGCTTGAGCAGAGTCAGTGACTACAAAGAGAAAGTATAGGACACTGGCCTTTCTCAGTGCATTCTTTTATGCATAGAACAAAGCAAGTCTGGTGTAAAACAGACATTAGCCTAATTTGTCACCTGCTGTCAAAAAGTGTAAACAGATTTGCCAGCATTTATTGCTGTCCACATCTTGAAACTCTTCCAAAGTGAAGTACATGTACAGCCCTATGTTTTCAAACCCATTAGTTCTTGCATTTGGACACATGACTTGGTTAAACATGCACCAATCCTTCCAATGAGTTCTCATGACTTTATAGCGTACCTTGGGAATTATGGACGACCAGTTCTTGACGGATGTATGTAAGATGCGCATCCAGGCTGGTCGACCATCGGAGGTGGAACCAGGTCGTTTCTTTCTCTCCGTGGAAGAGGTAGTAAAATCATCTTCCTCATCCAGCATGGACATCTTGAGCAGCTTGGAGATCATGCTAGCTCCTAGCCAGGGATCAAGCAGTTCAGTGTAAGTCCCCTTCCTTATGTGCTAAGTTTATGAATTGTAAAAGGTTCTATATTGTGTGCATGCACTGGATCTCAATTTGAAAAAGAACAGTGCATGGATTTTACTCAAACTTGGTTTTTTATAAAATTCCAAGCAAGCTTTAATGGTTTCACTAGCATACGTGTGATTTTTTTTTTTTATGAGCAATTTTCCTGCGGACAAATTTTTGTGCAGCTAGGAATATTGCTGCGGCACATGTGAACCAAGGTTGGTTTAAAACCAGACTACAAGCAGCACGCTAAGTGAGGAGTTCCACTCATACTTGTTTGTACTCATATATAAAAGATCAACTTGATCAACTCACCTAGGTTGGTCAGCAGCACCTTCTCTGCATTATTAGGCAGTCCTAGCCAAGATGGTGTCTGGTTCTCAGGAAGTCCTTCTGCCCATTGCACAAACTGCTCACGCCTGAGGGATCAAACAACACAAAGTAACTGACGGAAATGATGTCGCTGGCATTTTGGTTTCAGACAGACTTGGTTAGGAAGTACTCTACCCAGATAAGCAGGCTTCAAACAAAGTTAGAAAAACCAGCGTTACCTACAGCCCCTGGAGTGGGACTGATAATCCAAAGAAAAGAAATGCAGCACTGAACAGTACATCAAATTTCTTTAGGTCATGTCTTCATTACCTTTCACCCAAACTTGTTGATTCCACATTTTATTACAAAGACACGTGGAATATGTCTAACCTGATGCCATCCGGCATGTTGACATTCCTGCCCTTGCCATCAATATCTTTGATGAGAGAGAACTCCGACTCAAAGCTGCTGACCCGGAACAACTTGTTGACAAAGGCGGTCAAGAGACGCTGCAGAAGGGATTTAGTGGGTGAGTAAGTGAGTGGCTGGTGATTGGGGGGATGCAAAGTCCGAGCACTGGAAGCAATAACAGATGCTTGGGTATTTGGAAGGGTCGTGTAGCTAAAACGGGCCACTGGTAACTAGTTCAGAGAAGATTGTGCACACTGGAAGGGTGAGGTAAATGTTGGTAAATGGGCTGTTGGTAAATGGGTTGGATGGACAGGCAGCTTGGCAAAACCATTGTAGGATTGCTTGTGTGGTTGAAAGACAAGTTTTACCTGGTCAAAGTCATTGTCAATGCGGCCTCCATAGATGCACTGTGACAAGAGTGTTTGCAGAGCATCCCACGGCACCTTGTCTGGGGGAAGATTGGATCGACCCTGCAAAGGAAGACAAAGTGATCAAGGCAGTTTAGAAGTTAGGAGAATCTAGTCAAAGACACAGGACTGCAAAATAAATCAGCCAAATTCCATACTAGGATTCATGGTGATTGGTTCAGCTGTTTGTCAATCAGGACAATATCATGACTGTTGATGAATACTTGATGAAAAATAAGCAGAAGATATTCAATGAGAAACTACCAGGTTTTCTCATAAGAGTTTCAGATCACATTTTTAGTATGAAATGGGACTAGCAGATAAGCTTAAATCAAATAATCACTGAACTCGTAACTACAAAACTTAATTTCTATTAAAAATTGGGTTTTTTTCTTAACGAGAATGCCACTCCCCCCCAAAAAATCCTTTTTTATTATTACTCTCCATTTACAATGCATTGAAATGAAACTTATGATGCATTTTAACACACCGAACGTTTCTAGACATTGTTTAAAGAGGCTATGTTATGCAACTATAGGTAAGTTCCAATGCTTTCATGTATTCAGCCCTGAATGTCTACCTTGGCAGCTGTGTCAATCCAGATATCCAAGGTGTCACAGGCACATCGTAAGTCAGAATCACTGAACTCATACTTCTTGGCCCATCCTAGAGGAGAATACGTCAACCTCTCTTGGACAATGGCATGGAGCCAGGCCAACAGGAAGTACAGGCGAGCACGCTCATTGGGGGCCTGTAGGAACAAATAAGTTGTACAACTTGACTCAATTCACAAAACAATGTATGATACGGTATCTTTACCTTTTATTTTCCCTGCTAAATGCTGTAAGTTGCTATGTATTGATAACTGCAAGACACACCAAGTGGTTGGGTATACCCCGTGTACATCACAGTACATTGTAAAATTGAAAGTTAATTTGGAAATTGGAAATTCTCATCATGTTTTTCTCTTCCAGGGAGATTCATTTTCATTTCACAAAATGTGAACAACTTTTCCTGCAGTAGGAAAAGATATTAATGCCTTTTCCTGCAGTGGGAAAAGTTTTTTGCCCCAAAACAGAAATGTGAATGCAAACAGGACATTTTTTAAAATAAAATTTCCCATTCCCATTAACATCATTAGCTTTGCCATGTACTCTACTCGCGTTGTACCAATGGTGGTTTATTAATGTATGCAACACAAAGTTAACAACTGAATTCATTTTGTTGCATTTGGTTGGATTCTTTTGTATTCAACAAAGTTCTTTTTATTACAGTGTTGTTTAAGGTTGCATTTAACGTTTGTTGCACTTACTAAGATGAAGATTACACTTATCACATCAAGATTGATTATTCTATATTTAGAATGTCATCCTCCCATTTTGATTGCTTCTACAAGGAGAGTGTGGATCTGTGAAGACAGTGTCAAATAAAAACTGATGGATTTTCTGACCTTGTTCATGCGTGATGCCGGGACAGTGCTGAAGGTCTTGAGCAGGTTAGCCTTAACACCTGGAGGTGGCTCAAAGACTAGGATACGGCCAGCACGCAGCAGGTTAACTGGAACCTTTGGGCACAAACACCGCATATACTTTGACCACCTGTATTTATCTATCCATTCTGTTACTATGCTAAGAACAAACTTTGGTAACACAACGAATTGACTCCTTGTCCAGAATACAGGGCACAATAACATAAAATGTATATATCCATATTTTGGGTGTAGTCCCAGTCTTTTTGCATCGTTAACTTTTATTGGATGATGAAACAAACACATTTTTAAGATTTAGGACAATGGGAAAATATAACGAAAATGCAAGTTACACTGTATACGTTGTAGAATTCAAACATATGACTAGCACAAAAACTGAAAGAGGGGTACCTAAAGTAGCAAAACACAACGAGTGATAACACAAATAGCAACACCAACCAACAGACAAGTAAAGCTACCTTAGGATTGATCTCCATGGTCAAGAAGAGTCTGAAACTGGGATGTGGGGACAGACTGTGCAACTTCTTCTCCAGTTGGACCAGCCACTGGGGAGCCAGATGAACGTTCTTCAACATCACCCATCTAAGGAACAAATAAAAGACTCTCTCAGCATTGTTACCATAACATCAAATTACTGGCCATGCTGTCCAGATTTGCAGTTTACTTCGACAGATTCATCACATACTGCTGCTTCTTCTGAAGCCCAAACAGAGCAAAGAGAACTTGCAAAAACTTATCATTTTATAAATGAAAACATGTCATTTCTCTTTATTTTAGGGGAATAGAGTTTACAGTTTGCTTTTTTGGGAAAGAAAATCCCTATCGCCCTCTTCTTTTCAGGGGAACAGGAACTTTCTCATGTTAAAATTAAAAGATATGTAATTTCTCGTCTTCAAAATAAAACAAAATCACTTATCTGTACAGATGGGATTGTTTCTTTTTAATTTTTACCTGTAGTCCAGCATGCACTCCTTGTAAAACTGCAAACACTTTGCCTCATTTTTAAGTAAACACTCCGTTCCCTTATTGCTCTCTAAGCTAGGAGTCCATGGATTGGTTTACATTTCAGTAAGAAAATGCTCACTCCATTTGTGCACACATTTATGTAATTAAATATCTTCACAATAGATACTGTGTTACATTTCCAGCCTATGCTTTATTTTGTACGCTCTGGTCAGTGTGAATCGCAAGTACACATACTGTACTTGCTGTCTTAAATGAGACGAGTAAATTCAAGTGACAAATGAATAGAGATGCAAGTGATTACTGATGATTTGAGCAGTTTTGTCTAGTCCTTAACCAAGACGTTCACTTTGCAGAGTGGTTACCCTAACAAGCACCTGTCCATCTCAAGGCTTCCGTAAGTCAATCACAATTATCATGAATTGAATTATATTAATAGGTATCATTAGAATGACAAAGGGCTGAATATATCATAATTCATTTGGACAGACTGTGACTCAACTGGCTTGTGGTCAACTTGAGATTACAACTTCATTACAACTGTAATTTTGAAAAATTCATACGCTCAGCAAAAACAGCAAATCTTGAATTCCACCAAGCCAACTCTTCTTACTTCCTACTCTGACAATAACATTTCTAGAGTTTGATGCACATGGTGACTTACTTTCCAGTCTTGGAGGCAGAATTGATGACTTTGTCTGCTTGACTGAAACCCTCAGCAGACCCTTCATGAGAAAAGGAAACAGAGTGAGAGTTTTGAGCTGATATTCAACGATTCTGCACAACTCCACAACACTAACATATTCAGAGACTCTTCCCATTGAGACAACTGGGCAACTGAGTGATAAATTAAAGGTCAAAACATGGACGCTAACTCAAATGCATGTCAGGTGGCTGTATCTTGAGTAAGGCCATCATTGAATCAACAAATGTGCCACTTCCCATCAAGGTAAGGGGCACTTTTGCAACTCTGCTAACAAAACTAGGGGCAAGACATGACAGTCTGCTTTGTACATATACACAATAATGATCATTTCAATGATTTGGCAGTGGTCCCAAGTCCCATTTGTGTGAATTTCTGACCCTCAATTGTTCTTGTTAAAGTCATCTACATTACTTCTTTTTGAATCTTCCATGGGTGCAGGCAGCATTGCTGATGTACCCATCTCAATTCACTGTATAGAGGTTACCACTGATCAACGATTCACAAATGATGTGGACCAGTGCAAATGTTCAAAAACAAGCAATACCATGGGGATTTGGTATTTCCTAAGCAGGAGAGAGACCTTGTCATTTTGTTCCATTTTCCCACATGGCTGGTTTTCCCTGATGATTGATTGGTTCCCTTCTTACCGATAGCAATTGAAGACAAGCCTTTGTTGACCTCAGCTGCCAGGTCTTCTACTCGGCTGCTGGCATCATAACCAGGCACAGAGCACATCAAGATGGGAGTACTGCACTTCAACTGTGCAAACCATCCAAATATTAGCAAAATCATGTTCAGCCATTACCACAAACCACTAACAGACTCTAAACAGTGATGTAAGAGGGCTGCCCAGCACACCTTTTTTTCCTGTTAATGAAATGACTGCTCATTTGGGCTTATTAACCCTAACACTCCTCAGTCCTCCAACAGGTGAAGGATTGAGGAGGGTTAGGGTTAAGGACTTGTGTGAGCAGCGAAAATGTGTTCCTAATATGTGCATATTGCGCACCCCAAGCATTCTGTGTTATTGGATTTATAGATTTATTTTTGCAACCCAATGACGGATTCAACAGAATGGATAATTTGAATAGATAATCTGAATGCCGTGGAAGATTGAATATCAGTTTCAATAGTAATGCTACATCTTTGAGAGGGGCAAAGGTTCTTCACTTTAATCTCATGAAGAACAATCAGTTGTCTACAATCAGTTAGGTTGGCTCTAATATGAATGAGACTGGATGAAAGAGAGCAAATGGATTCTTTTTATTTAGCCCTCCTATGCTAAGATGCGTTCTTGAAACAGTTGTCATATCAGTCAAAATCAGTCAAATTTCCCATATGTGTCTGTGTACTGGGGGAAATCAATTGGAAGGCATTTTTGACCGTTTTTGACGGTTATAACAGTAGGAGGGTTAGAAGTGTCATTAGGTTGACGGTATCCAGGATATAAACTGGCATCACAACCGGACATGGGAGAACTAGTTTATCTCAAATTGAACGGTTCATGCCGGTCTCAAAGGCTACTGTCTTCTGTCAAGGGTGGAAATCCATCTTGACAAGTTTTCAGCACTTCTCTGTGTTTACCTCATCTTCCACCATGTTGGCCAAATCCAGCTCTTGCTCAGCTGAGTGGAGAAACTGCTCCCCGAAGACAGCTGACACAAAGAGCTGACAGGAGGCCAGGAGACGGTCGGGTCGGAATGTCTGAATGACGAGCAGACGGTGCAAAGCTTGACCAATGGAACCTGGGAAATAGAGTGGTCAAGATGTATGAATAGAAGAACAGACTGGCATTAGCTCAGATCAATCAATGCAATGAATCCACTTTCTACTGACTGACTTGTAACAGATGGTTCCAGTGCATTATAGCCAGGACACTTGATGAATCCTCCAAAGTCCATAACTATGTCCAGTAGCAATGCACTGTTCTTGAACTGGAGGGCATAGTAACAGTTCATTTTTCCTCAAGAATAGCCTGTTAACATGGTTAACTTCAGGTGTTCTTCCCCAAAAAGCTGCTGGGGTGAGTTTTTTCTGCAAATTATTTCTGGTGCCCAGAAAATATGTAGGGAGGCACAACTCTTGAGTTTAGGCCTCGGTGTTTTACTCCTATTCCTCCGAGTTCTTTTGTTTCAGCTGTTTTTCAACTGCCCTGGTAAACACTGTGGCCTGTAACCAGACGCCAACCGGTTCACATACAAAAGATCCATACCATACATAGGGTCACCCATGGCCATGAGCATTTTCTTGCCGATTGTTTTGACACAAAGGACTTGGTAGTTGGAATTTTGCAACCTTTTAAAAGTGGTTTTGCTTCCTAGCAAAATGGTTTACCCAAACAAGGGAGGTCTTTAATCCCCTTAGTTCTTTTGTGTATGGTGTGGTCTTCCAATTCAATTCTGATTACTCAAGAAAGGCATTTCCAGATTAATGTTGGTTGTGGGGAGGGAGTCCACTTTATAGCAGCATCCATGTGTAGGTCATCTTCCGTGCTTTGACCCAACCAAGCATGACGCATCAATACGTCAACCACAGAGATAAAAAAAAAAAGAATTCTTAAACAAGTGTACAGGTCCTTCATGGAACAAATAAGGAAAACTGTGTGTGTTTACATGTCATCTGGTGACAAGTGGTGGATCAAGATTGGAAATGGGTCAAAGAGCTGAGAAGATCAAGGAAAGGTACATCTAGAAGTGAGTGGAAAATATGGATGCCACTTACTCAGTGGAGTGATCTCCTTCCAACAGGCTGGGACATTATTCTCTGGTCCAACACTCTCTGACCACTCACTGAAATTCTGTTGAAAACATTTGAATGGAAAGTGTAAAAAAGAACCCTTCGCTAAAAAGCAATTTTCTTATCTGAATTTGTTACGGTAAGAAGTACAATAGCTTTATGACAATTGTTTTTATCCCGGTTTTCAACAATTACCCTACACCAGCAGAGAAAAGTACAAAATGAAAGTGGAGGATCGGAGAAAGTTTGGAGAGTGGCAAGGACCTATTAAAGGCTGTCAAACAGACCAGAAAATTTCAGAACAGGGTTCCTACAAAGCTTACCAAAGGAAGTACATAAAGCTTAGGCATGAACCATCTTTAGCTGGCATGAAAGGGATAGTCAGCTGGCCAAATAGATGGCTTGCATTTGCAGAAACTGTGAAATGTGGCATCTTAAGTTTGAAAGATTTGTTGGTTTGAAAGGAAAAACTTTCAATATTAAAATCCAAGCTAGTTTCTTGTAATTGCAACCACAAATATGAGATGTCATTTTATTTCAATCTTTTCCCCACCCCTAAAAAAAATCTCTTACTCTCTGTTGACATAGGGAGAGCTTTCAACTTATCAACAACCTGTGTATGTTGTACCCTTATATTACACGCACATGGGAAAAAAGAGGAATGCATCTGAAACAACCACCAGAGAGGATCAAGCATTTAAGAAGAAATCCATTTCTTAGTATCTTTTGAAAGGGGCAAGGAACAACATTTGAAAAAAAGCTCAGAATTTGAAAAGCCGAATATGAACTTTTAGACTTTCTACACAACGACTAGTAATTTGGTAGTTGAATGATACCTATCTCATCAGTAACTAACAAAAGGTTTCAAAATCTTTTAAATGAATGGACGATCAAAACCATATACCTAAATCCTGGTAATACAAAAGCAGCAAAAATTGAATTCAGACATTAAAAGGCCACATGCAAAGCAAATACTGAAGTAAAAAAAAAACCTTTCAGAAGCTGCCTCAAGACACCATTTGAAAAAACTGAGGAAAAAAAATTGATGAGGAAATACTGAGACGTTAATGTACTAACCCGACGGCTGCACGAACCAAACATGTCTTCAGGCTGTTTATTTGCATACACGGTGTGGCAATGGATTAATACACATGCATGATGTTAACAATGAACAGACAGATGAAGAAGGGTTCAATTATGCAACACATATCACAGGGAAGTATGCTGCAATAGACAATGACAACTTCTTCCTGGTATTATAACACATCTTGGATTCCAACAGAATTTTTCATGCAACCTATCTCAATGTCAGACAAGCAAACTGATGTTCTCTATGTCTTGCACATTTCATCAACATAAACAACTCTCAGACAAGCAACTGCTTTGTTAAAATCAAGAGAGAAATGTTTGAAATTTAACCAGAATTTACTTTAAGGACACATTTTGCTAATTTCCCCCTAATTTCATGCCCTGCACTTAGTGCTGTACATGAAATTAGGGGGGCATTAGGGAGATATGAAAATGTTAGAAAATCTTGACAGCTTCATGCATATGCAAAGACTGCACAGCGAGAATCTACACTGAATAAAGTCAGTTTAAATGTGACTCACAGGTACACTACATGCTGTCAAATGCACTGAGAAATTGTCAGGCCTTTTTACCCGCTATATAACTGTACAAAACTGCTTTTAGGATGTATGTTATATTAACATCCAAGGCGGACTGCGTGGATAGTACTTTCAACATAAACTAATCCGAGGGAGACATCATTCCTACAGTGACACACTATGCATGAAAAATGAGCTTTTGGACTTACAGCATGCATGCAGCACCTAGTGGTCAAAGAGAAATGTCATGTATGTGCACACAAACTGTGAGTCACATATGGCATCATCACAGTTATAGCTTCTACTTGTGGTTACTGTGTGAGTCTATAGGAAGCAGCACTGCATGTTACACGACTGCTGACAGTATCAGTGGGCATTTTGAGGCAGATGGTTGACTCTGTGACAATGGGAACATCCATGGAAGAATGGTAAAGTTGATTGTGAGCTTACCTGCTTGGATTCAACAAACTGTAGCAGGCCTTCAAAGTTGGCGAGTTTGGCCAGACGAAGCATAGATTCTACCTGCTCGTTAGACATGCCTTCATATTTGGGCAGTTTGGTTGTCTGAATGGTCTGCTCAGCACCACGCAGGAAGTGCTGGAATTCAGCAGTGTAGTCGGCCTCACTACAGGTTAAGATAACAGAGGCACTTTGTATGCATGGTGTCTGTGAATTGGCACAGGGGTTGTATTCCTTGTAGGAAAACCTATCTTAGCAGTGATCATTAATGTGAAATACTGCTCTAAAAGCAGGATGTTTTCAAGGCATGATCACAGCATAGGAAAACCTTCAAAGTTTCAAGACTGGTTCCAATCCCCTCCTATCACAGTCCAGAGTATAATCCAGCACAGATTGGTGACTGACCAGTGCAGCTCTCAGCGTGCTGGAAAGCCCATCCAATGTGCAACATGGTTCCCAAATGCTAACAAGTAAACAGCATACATGGATCGATGCCCTACATGTGTTGCTAGGCAGCAAAGCATGTTATTGACTTGGTGCAGACAGTCCAATCTGGTTGAATGGATTTTCCCTAGGTCTTCCCCTCCTGCGTCTGAACTAATTCTCTCTCAAGATTAGTTTAGGTTTGTACATTCCAGTGTAATGGGCACAGTCAAGACAACCTTGTTCACAAATCACAGATTAAAGATGTTTGTTATCAACAAGGATTTGCCCTCTACCACAAATTTAAAATAACAGCCAAAAATTAGAAGCATATGACCACTATGGCCACTTGATAACGTACCTGGAGACACCCCTCAGGTTTATACGGCATAGGAGGATGGCAAACATGATGCGGTCTTGATGCAACATACCACGAGCTACACGGTTATAGCATACCTGCAAGAGGCAAGAAATGGCATCTCCTATACAACACACAGGAACGCACTCAACACTAAACTACAATTCGCCAAAGTTTCACTTCACTTGAATGCACAGTGGTTAGTTGTGATGGTCAACAATAGGGAACTACACTCTAGGACAGGTTCACAATCATTTTATTTCCTTATGGACAGAGATCATCACCATGAATATTGTGAAAATAAATGGAAATGATTGTGAGGACAGCAAGAAATTCAACAAATGGAAAATACAAGTGATAACTGGATTTTGCCAACAACATTCACCTTGGGTTGATGAGACAGGGACTGCACTCTGCATGGGCATTATTCAATCAAACTACAGTTGCAGCTCAATTTTCCTTTGTGTGGACAAACATCCACACATAATTCTGATATGTCCCTTGGAAAAGCCATGGTATTCTATTCTTCAGGTTATTTAAAAATTCCCAATGCAAACGCTCAGCTTTACCTTCCATGGTGCCCAAGGTATTTGTCCTGCTTGAGGAAACAAACCATAATCCACTGAACAACAGCTTACCTGGAACAGATCCTTGGTGATGATGGACAGGCGTGAATTATGATCACTCACGTTCTTCAGGTGCTCGTTCTCTGACAGCACGGAGTTGAATATCTCTAAGAAGAACTTCAATGAGTACTGGTACAAGAAGTGCACCTGGACAACGATGGGTAGAGTTCAGTGATAAACATGCACCCCACGTATCTTCCATACAAATGCTACGCTTTGAAAACAAAGTGGGCACCAGACTATGAGGAAACAATAATTGGATTCTACAATGTATATTCACACCAAAAATAGTCAACTTGGTTATTTTTGCAAAATCCCATCTCTGTCTAAGCCTTATTTCAGGCTCCTGGGTTTTAACTATTTACAGTTAGAACAATATGAAAATATCCAATAATTTTGGCTTCTCTATGGCAGAAAATGGAATTGTAGAACATCACAGGGGACTAAATTCCCATCTGAATCCTAGCTGGAACCAACTTTAGGGCTTGAAGCACCCCTTTGTTACCCTATTCAGAGCCTCCAAGGTGAAATAGATGCTGCTGCAGGACTGAGCTAGGGACAGATACTGCTGAGAGACAGTCTCAACCTCTGCCATGACCACGTCTGTCTCCTCCACCTTGCGAGTCACTTCGGCTGCCTCTTTCTTCAGTGTCTCCAGGGTGGTGATGATACTACAAGATGATGAGCCAAGGAGAGAAATTACAACCAAAGACTTGGTCAATGCCTTCAATGTCACAATGTTTACACACCACAATTTCTCTCAAGTCTTGTAAACCTGCATTGCTTGAGTGAAAGAATATACATCATAACTCCTCGGGACCGGCTGAATGGGAAAATATTGGTCATCTTTATACTGTAACTCGAATATGCATACTTTGTATTAACATCTTTTCAAACATGCAACTTGACTCCTTCTCATCTGATTCAAGTTAGCCTCCATAAAGTTCTTTCACAGCAATAACGGTGGATGGCAATCCATACCACAAACTGTACACGAATGCTACCAATGCTACCAAATTAAAAAACAAAGCAACACAAAATGTTGTCCTGATGATTAGAAAGGCCAAAGAGAACTTTCACTTACAGTACAATTACTGATTTGAAACATGTACCTATTACGGATTAGTTGGGCCAGTAAATGCAGATGATACGGCTATTACATAGTGACATGCTAGGTAACTGAACTCCTGATACTGAAATAAAGCAGGAATACCAACACTAAGCAAATATGGCTGACCAAAACAAACTAGCAATGGAGTGATTGTAGTACCTGTCATCGTCCAGTATACGTCCCTTAGTGTCATTCAGAGCTTGCAGCAAGGATTTCTCCAGCTGGCGCAGACGTAGGTTGAATTCACCTAGAAAATATCAAAGTAATCAAAGCCCAACAGATCCACACTGATTTCTACAGGAACTCTGGAAGGTATCAAGCTACTGGTTAAGACTTCTGCGGATGAAGACTACTGCAGGTGAAAACTCCTCCACTGCATCATCAATTGGCTGTTTGGGCTGATTTCCATTTGTCTAGCGGATGCCATCAAATAAACTATTGGCAAATGTAGCTGATCCATGCTAGCTTTCTGAATACTTGTCAGACAGCAAAACTGATGTTTGGCTGGGATTATAGCTTAAGACCACAAAAAACGACAAGTTACACTTTTATTAGCAAAGCGATTCACTTCCATTCAAAGCATTCTTAAGACAAGTCTGTCTTGTCGGGCAACTCAATACGTTGAAGAAAGCAATCTAGAAAAACAATGCTATCAGAACAGAACCCAACTGCGATTGAAACAAGAATGAATCTAGTGAGAGAATGGATTATGTACCTTGGAGCTTGAGAAGATCAGATCGTTTCTCATCAACATCAGGGCGTTCAGCTTTTAACACCTGTCACAGGGGATCAGAAACCACCATCAATGACTAGATCTCTTGTTTAAACATGAATTACAGACACCAAAGAAATGATTCACATCAAATTATTTGTAGGAATTAAAATTTACATAAATATATGACTTTAAATGTAAAACTATGGCAAATTGAAAACATTTGGAACGAATTCACTGAAGTTATTGGATAATGGAAATGTTACTGCTTTAAACTCAAAGTAATAAGAATTCAGCTTTGAAAAACAATTTGGCAAATTGAATTGAAAACCTGTTCAGGAAAGGTATTTTTACTGTGTAGTAAGGCAGCATCAATATCATTGAAATTGAATTCAAATTAGTTTTGTTTGGCAGTAATTTGCATTACTTCATCACTCTTTGAAATTAAAGAATGTGACCTAAAACTATTAAATCATATGCCAGATGTAACAAGGACAGGAGACAATTGGACCCCAACATTTCTAAATGACCACAAGAAGTACTGAAAACAAAAGGAAGCCCCACATATTTCACTGTCTGATAACTGGTATCTACATTATGTCTGCTTTGGGGATTTAGTGTGCATAACAATGTGTATCAGCAGCATACCTGATTTAGACACTGGCTCTGCAGACTGCTCCTAGTAACAGTGAAATTGACAAAGGTTACTCTGGAGCAGATGTCTGGCGAAAACTCCACCTAGACAGATAAAATAAACCAAACCAAACAAGAGAACAAAAATGACTCCTTGGGTTATAGTCTTGAAATCTGTCTTTTTTTCTCCTTGGGACAAGAGAAATTACAAACCCATCACAAACATCTGCCACCATCCACAAGAGAACTTTTCTAAGCGATAAAAGACATCAGCAACTTGGTGCTGTTTTCTTACTAGCATAATGTTAATTCTGAAAGCAATCTGACTTTGATGTTAATAATAAAGATCTTGAAATCCACTTCATTGGAAATATAAACTGCTGTGTAGCATACCTGAAGACCAAAATGTTTGAGTAAACTTTCTACACTGACAGAGCCTACCTGTAACGCCTTTTAAATCAGCTGGGTTCAAATCTGATTATAGAAAAAACTCCAGTGACAGTATACAGCAACTGTATAATATACATTTTTCCAATTTTAACACAAACATGAGGCGATTTCTGTAAACCACTCTTCAATGAATTGAAATTTTCAACGTGAGTTCACCAGAATTTTAATACAAATCTTTGCTGTGCACAGTCAAGCTTCTCCACTTGTTTTTCCTACTTACGGTTGGGTCCCTTGTAGACAGGAAGATCATGAAGGCTGGTGATAAATCAATATCCTGATCTCCCAAACTGATGAGCACACGACCTCCAGTACGACGCACTTCACGGTTCAGCACAGGGTTCAAGATAGGATCATAGTTCTCAACATCCTGGCCAAAAAATCACCCAAACCAAACAAGAACAAAACCTGAGATTTACAAAAGTATTAAAGCAACCTTGTGGCTTGATTAGCAGCAAACTCTTGACATAGAAAGTAAACTCCAGTCTCCAAAGATTTCTAGACAAACTACTGTCATGTGAGAAATATGTATCTTTAACATGATGCCTTCCAGTAGATACAATGTAAAATACATCTGTCCATGAAAGGGTCACAGGGGGAGGGGGTACAGCAAAGAGGCATGGCAGTAGATGTCTTCTGTTTTCCTCCATAAAGCAGTATCCACTGTATACATACAAACCTGTACAAGAAGTGGGTTGCCAAATCGAAGAGCACTCTCCAGATTCTTGCGGAATGCATCATCCAGGAAACTAGGAAAGATCACCCCAAATCCAGATAATTTCAACATTCTGTAATTTCTTTATGGTTCATAGCTCACTGTGTTTTCCAAAGAAGCAAATAATATATACATAGCTGCTTGGAACAAAACATTAGTGCATTAAAGTATCTGCCAAGTGCACCTTCCAACCACACTCACAGTGTGGGGATGCAGCAAGTACAAGACATTATGTGCATAGCAATACAACATGACATTGAGAATGTTCAATGGTTCACTCTCTGTGCCAAGAGGGCCAACTAGCTTGAACAATGAGTGCCATCATGTAGTGATCCCTTTCTGAAGTTAGTTGGGTTCTTAACATTCTGAGGAGAGCACAATGTCTGTAATGTTAACTTAATTACATCAGCTCTTTCCATGATTCAACTCAGTCCAAGAAGAGATTGCCACTGCACATAGCTTGTACTGTACCTAGCTTGTGTAAAACAGAATTTCATTACCAAAAAAAGATGGATTTTCATATTCATTTCTCCACATGATGGACCAAAAATGTGCAGGTATCATCAAACCTGACTTTTGTAATGAACACAATCGAAGCCTTCACAAAAGATTGAATGAAAATCCAACTAACTCTGAGCACTTACTCAAACTGACAAGAATATCTCTGGTGAGGTTTATGAGATGTGCAAAACTCTAGGATTTATCAGGTACAAAACTTAAAGGGCTCAAGCTTTACTTTACTCAAAATCCAAGACACAAGTTCATGAGCTACACAATTCTACCAAATGAGACCAGAAATTGGACAGGCTTGAGGTAAACCCACCTGGTCTTGGTAATCTTCTTGTCTTTGTATTCATTGAGTATAAACTCTGTGGCTTGACCTGAGGGGTCAATGATGAGTGGGTACCGGTTATAGCGGTTCAGCATGATGGCATTCTCAGTGCACAGGTCATCAGAGGGTAAGGCATTGGCTTGCCAGCGAAGGCGCTCATCAGCATTAGACAAATACTGTGGTAAAAACATAAATTACCAATCTTAGAAATTCAAATTTGGAGAAAAGTAAAATCAGAAGACTAGAAATGCATACATATTTACAGTTCCTTGTAATTCCATTACTGCATGTTTGACTTGTCTTTTGGTGGAATGAACTTGTTACATATGATTCTTTTACTGACCCCCAACAAGCTTTCATGCCGTAATCTTATAAACATCTTTTAGGCAACAAAGAGAAAGAAATAAACTCTTTCTCCACCACAATTAACAACTTATGTCAACAAAAAACTGTCATTTAAAAGAGAAAGCTATATTTGAAATTGAACAGTGACTTTTGAAAAATGTAAAGAGAGTCAGAGCTGCATGCTATCTACAACGTTTCAGTCTTAGATTCTGCAAAGTATGAAGATTTAGTGATCATGGTTGGTGATCAGACAGTCATGAAAACTGCTACAAGGACGGTCAAGGCCTACCTCCACACGGGCAATGTCAGATCTGTACTTGATGCAAGCTGCTTGGAGGTGAGATGCCCAGCTGTTGAAGAGATTCTGCCTCATCTGCTGGTCAAAGTAGCCGGCGTAAGCCATGAAGGCAGAGGACAGGAGCACATCACCCAGGATGGTGGCCATCTGTGCCTTGAAGGACTCGCTGCCTGTCTCCCATCGCTCACGCTCATGGGACAGGCTCCTCAGGAGGGCTGTGCTGCGGTTCACCTGGTAATGAGATGAGAACGTGTGTGCTTTGTATTGGACAAAACTTTTACTGGTTCCTTGAAATACATTGCTAGATAATCTGACAGTGTTGTAGTCGAGTCCAAAGTCTGTCTGCCACAATATGCACCGACTCTTCATCACTACATGCTCCAGGTCACATCTGATGACTTCAGTGTTGCAAGGACTTTCCCTCGTGTCTCCTACTCTATCTCACCTTGATTTCTACAGCCTCTAGATCACTCTTGATTGCCTGTGCCTGGCTGATGAGCTGGGCGTACTCCTCTTTGTAGCCAGCAATGCTATGCTCCAAATCAGCAATCAGCTTGTTGACCTGTTCCTGCTTGATCTTGTTCTTATTGGCCTCTTTCTCCAGACGATCCAGCTCATTGCGCAGAGGCTCCACACGATGAAGCATGTCGGCATAGCTGATCTGTTGACAATATGGAAAGAGATGGCAAATGCCAAACAGATGATGTCGAAGTCATTCTGTAAAGCCATATTGCAAAACGTTATTCCCTGTATCAACGTTCCCACCATCATGCTGAAACGTTGAATTCACGATGAGTAGGGGAAATGTACATGTACCTGCTCTGTCAGGTTGAAGATAGATTTGTTGTTACATAGACCCTGCTGCATTAAAGGTTTCTTTCCAAATTATATCCTTTGGATTGGAACTACCAAATGGCATGAATCAAAATTACACAAAGAATTTGGAAAAACTAAAGCAAACAGAATTACACCAATTTTAAGTAGATTTTCAAATAGAAAACTTCATGGGCTTCACAAAATTCTATCCTACATGCATCTTCCTTTAGATGCCAAAACAAATGCCAAATGCTGGACTCCAAGAAGGGTGGCACATCACCTGAGCAATGGCCCACTTGACCATGGGGCCACAGGCCAAGCTGGCTCGGTTCATCTTCTCAAAGTTATAGTCAGGATTGGACAAGTACTTCTTCATCATCTTGTCACGGGTCTCCTCACTACATAAAACACACACCAAGGCATCAGGCTATTTTCAAAAACAGCTGCAAGTGGAAATGCAAATCAGTTCATCAAGAGACCTAATACACTACTCTGAAGACCTGTCAAGAATGTACACATTTACAGGTTTTACTCTACCCATGGGCAAATCTGGCAGGTCAACATAAAGTTGTTTTATGTAATTGTAGAATTCTTTTTAGGCATCATTCAAGATTTGTTTATTTTCCCCTAAACAGATTTATCAACTCACACTAATACCAGCAAGCATTTGTCGAGCCTTCATGCTTTTTTGCAACATTTATCAGACAAGGTGGACTACGTACAGTCCAGAACTGAATGGAATGGAGATCAAAGACTGGGGAATGTGATGGACTCACGAGATGTTCTCTGTGTTGAAGTTCACAATGGTACTGATGAAATTATCCCTGATGATGATACCCCGGATGGCCTTCCAGTCAGATGTGTTCTCTCCAAGGAGGAGGCAGATGGACTCCAAGGCCAGCTTGACAAGGGGTGGGGGGTTGCCCATGGACCGGATCTCCACCAGATTCTGTTTCTTGATGCCCTTCACAGCTGATCAACATAAAACATTCATCGGCAGGTGTCAAAGAAAGCACTTTTTCATGTATACCCCCACTTCCCGTGAACTGGGTCTAATAGCTTGCAGCAAAGATTGTATCGCGCCGCACAGCGGCGCAAGATGGAGAACTTCACCATGAATACGTGTAAAATGTTGTAATTGCCTTGACTCCATTTGAGCAAGCGACACGCCTGTGTAGTGGACATTAATGCACAGACGCAGGCACCGCACCAGGCACGCACACCTGGTGTGCTTGTGTGTGCCTGTGCATTTACGTCCACTGTGCAGGTGTATGGCTTGCTTGCATGGCACCTACGGCGATTACACCTTTTTGGCAGAATTCCCCATTTTGCAGAGTGGCACAGTTCCCAATCTTGCTGAGTGGCAGCGTGGAGAGCACACTAAGCACTGTTCAGCAGTCCAGCCATTGAGGTCATGTAGGCTGTCCACACTGCCTCCAGAAAACTAGCAACGCTTGACAAGTGAGCATTATCCATACCTGCTTGGGCGTCACGTACTGCTGGTTCCACCTTGGCCAAGTCAGCCATGACAGCTTCTCGCTTCTCTCCAATTTCAGCGGTCTGTACAGTCAAGGCAGCCTGGATCTCTTGGGATGTCACCTTCTTCTTCTCTGCTTCCTGTTGGTCTTTCACCTTGAGACGACCAAGAAATTAATCCTGATCAGTAAAAACCTCACTCGCTTTTGGCTGGACAGAATGATAAAGATTTCATTCTTGTCAAATCTTTGTCGCGTAAATAACTTACCCAGGATTATATCTCAGACTGTTTAAAGTCAGTATGATATTTTCAGTGATATATTTTAAAAGAGTTGAAACAGAAATTGAATTGTCTAGATGCATGATAATGCTTGCTTTTCAGTGATAACTGCTGGTCTTTTGTTTCTCTGTTCTTCATTTAATTTTTACATTTCTATTCAGAGGCACTAGTCAATTCGTCGGGTTCACCACAAAGTGACGTTATCGTAGATAGTTGCAGCACCACAAAGTCACATATCGTGTGTACAAAGTCTATGGACGGTACGGTACGTCACTTCCTGGTGCACCAAAACTATCCTATACGTCACTTCGTGGTGAACCTGACGAGTTATGCCCAGGCAGATTTGTTTCCTAACAAATCCTCAATTTCACAAGATTTCTTTTTTCACTACACATTATTGATTTCCAACTGAGCTGTCTGACTAGAAGAGTAAAGACTGCATTCACGCTTCAAATTGGGCTCAACATGCCCAAGTGTCTACAACAAAACCTACTCTACAAGACAGCAGTTAAGTCAAGAAAATTCTTCTTTATGAATACATTATATGTTTTTCTATAGGTCATTACTCTGTGAAATAATCATGACCGAAGTAGTTTCTTCTAAGTGATGGAGCAGTGAAGTGCAATGGATATTACATGGTATGAAAGACTTCACTTCGCATAATCTCAAGGCACAACTGACATTAAAGGCTGTCAACAAGTGCTCCACTGGATTGTGTCTGGACTCACCATCTGCTTGAGTTTGGCATTGGCAGCAGCATTCTTGGCTTCCAACTCTTGGCTTTTGCGAGCCAGGGACTTTTGTAGTTCCTCCACCTGCTCCACTGTCTCCTTGATCTTCTGCAAGCCCACGTTGAGATGAAGCTGTTGCTCTTCCAGGTCTGACCGCTTCTCTTGGTACAACTTCACCTGCAGGAGACAGGTAAAGAGAAACAAAAAGCACGGGAAATGCTATCATTTTGCACTTCAATAACTAAATAAGTATGTAAATAAATGGATAATTGTTTCTGGGATGGTGCAATTTCTTTGGCATTACAGCCAAAGATCTCATATAAATTTTCAAATGTCATTAGCTCTGAAAACTTTTACAATTCTAAAAGATTTTTCAAGAAAAACACACCCATAAGAGAAAGTGGATGAGTCTCCTCAATGGGATAAACACTGCATATCAGAGCTCGAGTATAATCAAACAAATGCATGCCACAAAATCAAAAAGTGTCAGGTGGTATCTGACTCTTGTGACAGACGCCATGTCACTATGGAGGACTGGATATGTGACCGTATAAACCAACAAAGTCACTGTGCCTTTGATGTGACACAAGCATTAAGTATCTCACGTAGTGATGGATGAAGTCTAGGTAGTGTCTGGGTGTTATGGCCATGACCCGTCCACCTCGTTTCTGCACTCTCTCATTGGCCTGATGCAACGTCTGATGTACATAGACATAGGCATTGACGATGGCTTCTCTGTGGGTTGGTGTGCTGGGGACCCCTTCGTAGGCAAGTGGCAGAGTGGTTGGTGGGCAATACTGTAATCAATCATAACACACTACAATCATCAGTCCTGATCCAAAACTTCTCAGGTTGATGCCATGATGTCAGTAATTGAAAGCTATTTGAGAATATTGACATTGACTAAGCCAAAATATATTAGTAGACCCGGAGTAGGTTGTCTCTTTAGATGCTTTGCTCTGAACTTTAAAATGTGTAATAGTAGCAAGAACTACGGCACAAAGACCCAAGTTGCATTTCTTAGACAGCATACTATAATGAATTTCTGAAATTTGTTATCAAATAATCAAATGAAGCATCCCCATAATAATCAAAGACAATGCTTCAAAATGTATATCATGATCAAGATAAGAGATTTTACATTTTGACGTATGTATCTTCTTGCATATTACAAACTACATGATATCCTGAATTCCACAGGAAGCAATGTACACTACTCAAAAAAAGTTAAGGACCAATTTTTCTTAACCTGTCATTTTTTTCCAAGCTAGTTCTTTCATTGTTTGTCTAGATAGAGTTTTTATTGGAATAAAAATTTAAAAATTTTTTCAAAACATCAAACGCACATTTTCAGCAGTAAAATATCTCTTATAAAAAAGTATACACAAAATAAAAAGTGGTCCTTAACTTTTTTTGAGTAGTGTACAGTTACAGGCATGCAAAAGCATTCCAAACCAAGAGACTAGAACTATACTTGCTGGGAAGAATTGTCACTTTGAAACTACTTTCATGAATCTGTAATGAGGCTGAATCTGTGGCTCACTCAAACTTCACTAGACTTGGGTGTACCTTTAAGATGTATCCATATATAAAGAGTACAAGAAAATGGAAAACTCATGGAAGACTTTGACTTACATCTGACTTGTCTAGGTCTATCTTGCTGGTGAATTCTTTGCCAACCTGGTACAAGGCATGAGTAGACCAGTCACCAAACCAGTTCAGCACACACCTAGCATATAAATAGGACAGTAAGGTTATACAAAAATGTACATAATGGGCTCTTAATGTACAGCTTGAATAAAAGCATGATCCCACGTGTAAAACAAGAACTCATCCATCCCATTACGATGAAGTTGCCAACCTAGTCAATGACAATTGCCAGTACAGCCTCTCTTCCATCTCAGCCATACAGACAGCTGATTATTCATTTACAAAATCTTTATTTCAATACTGAACAAAAACACTATAAATCAAAGCCAGGTTACTGGTCCTGTTACAGACAACATACAGAGTGCAAGACAAATAGCATGATTAAAATATGTGGTTCAAACAGTAGAAATATAAATGAAACAGCAAACAGATGTAAAAACAGTTATATCACATAAATACCAGTCACCCTAACCAGCAGACACTCCATACAAAGGAAAGAGATTTAAAAAGTGGCTATGCTGCTGATTTACTGCTCACTTCCTCCAAAAACAAGTCAACTTTATGCCATGTGGTCAATCACAGTTACCAATCACCGCTGGCCACACACAGGCTGGTGCATGTACTGTGACAACCTTCAGCACACTATGAGGTACTGAGGGAACCAGACAATAACTGACCTGTTGAAGAGAGCAGGGGAAGTTGCTGCCCTGTCCTTCAGTCCTTCAGATGATGGGTTCATGGTGAACACCACGTGAAGATTACGCATCACCTATGAGGAATATTCCATTGGAAAGTCCACCAGATAAAATAAGCTCATTGGACTGCTTTCAATGTAGCACTGGGCAAGTTCTATATTTCTTGACTGCGGTATAGCTGAAGCTCAGTCTACATGCCCAAGTATCGTAAACCTGAACTGCAAATAGGATGGGGGGGTCTTGACATTTTTTCCTGATATCGCTGCAGTGCTCTTTTTTCAGGAGATTGAGCCTTTAGGCAATTTTTAAAGTGTCTCTTTGTGATCATTTTGACACCAATTTTGTGCGAATCAAACATACCGTTGTTGCGCAGCACTCATTTTTCTGAGACGGATCAGCCAAAAAGTGTACTTTTTCCACCACGGTGCTCAATGCGCGTGTACTGGCGCACATTTTGCCTTGAATTTCAAATGACCGTAGCAACAAAACCATACGTCAAACTTCACATTTGCAATAAAGAGTGCCTTAAAATGTGTGACAAGTTTTTAAAAATCGAGCGTGGCACAGCCGAGCTCTTTGCGGGGTGGAATCCCCCCCTGACTGTTCGATGGGCCAAAATAACCTCTTATTGAGGGTTCGATAGGTTGCCCAAATGAGGTCGTCTCAAGACAGTGACACTTTGCTTAAGCAATTTTTGAAGCCACAGTTAATACTGGAGCATGTTGAGGTTGGTTGTGGTATACACACACTCTGAGCAGTGGCTGGGTCTTCCCTGCATTGAGGGGACAATGTCTTCTGTTAAGAAAGCCTAAACTGACAAGTTGGGACAAAAGTTTGTCCCAACAACATCTATATTTCAACATGTGAAGTCCCAGTAATCTGGTTAACTACCATTATGTAATGGTGGTCTTATTCTTATTATCTTAAGAACATTTACTGAACTTCAGGTGTTATGTATTTTACTCTACCTGGCTGGTCCATGGGCTCACTGTACTTGGGCATTGTATTGCTAAGATTAGTCATCATACATACAGAGACAAGAATGGAACATGTTCTACTGCAATATTAAGTATGTGTATAATGCACTTGGTTATTTTCAACTCAATGCATACAAAAGAGATGTTAACAATCCACTCTCGTCCACTGTTTACAGTAAGGAACGCCAACCAACTTGTGGCATGGTCAAAAACAGATACAGATCTGATTCATTTGGAATGCTAGTTGAGGTCACGATACCCAGGCAGCAACAAATAAATCCATGTATGAAGCTGTTTTGGCTCTTCCTACCTCATGAGTGAACCACTTGTAGAGTTCCTCACTGGAATCCAGCATGTTACCCTTTCTCTGTGCTCCTTCCTTGCACTGTGTCATCAATGTGGTGTACTCATCACCCTCAAAGAGTCCCGGCACCTGGGCAGTGATAAACAAATGGTGAGTCACACCAAGTTGCCACATGCTCCATCAGCGATATGACGCATGGCACACAATACACTGATAAGCTAAGCTTTTTAAGTTAGGACTGATTTTTCTCACTTATTTCTTTAGCAATTATTGATTGCAGTAATAGGAAGCACAGGCTGTTTGTTCACCCCAGGAATACTTGGGGTGTTATTTATAACACACAGGCATCTTACATCTATCTATAACGCTGGCAAACATCCCAGGGGAAACATCACTCCAACTTGTCAAGAGAAGAAAATGAGAAGCAGTTACAGTTTTAGATGTGGGAGGAAAATCCCAGAGGAATATTCTGGGTAAAACCTACGGAATCAGGTAGGGACTAAAAATCCAATCCACATGCGGACTGAGCCAGGATTCGCACCCAGACCGCAGAGGTGGAAGACGAGGAAAGAACCACCGTACCAACCTGACTCCCCTACATGTAACTAAGCAAGATGGTCCACGCAAGGTAATTTATGCAGCGAATTGTACATGAGAAATTTTTATCTAATGCATTGAAAAGAGTGTAAACAGTCATTTATTTAGATGAATTCGTGTTTGTACAAGGCCAAAGAAATAACAATATACACATGGTGCTTTTCATCACAGAAAACTATGAACAATGCTCAGATGAATCATACACGTTTGTTCAGTGGTAAAGAATTTTGGAGTGCTTCGGGGCTTTCCCCCAAATAGTGCACCGACATACGTACCTCTCCATTGGCCAGCAGTGTGTTCATGCGCTCCAGGAAGCTAGAGTCTAACACATTGGATTCGTCCATGACAAAGCAGATCTTCTCATCCTACAATGTGCAATCAGATCACATAGCCATGTCAAGTTATATGTACATGTACATTTATCCAAACCATGAGTGTAGAAAGTGAATTTACTGACATACTATTTAAAGCTACTCAGCAAAAGAACAAACTTCTCCACATCACTTTCATCTGTAACAAGCCCAAGTTTGTTTTTTTTTCATAATACTAATGCACCAGGTGGGTCAACCTTTGCTTCGACAGTGACCTTGGAACAGAAACACCTGCAGGGTGCACTTTTTATAAATGCCATTGGTGGCAAGAAATATACAAATGAAGACCCCAAGTGTGCATACCTTGCAGCCTGCTCGCCGAAGGACACCTCTCAGATCTTCATCAAAGTCATCTGCTGTGTACTTGTTGTGAACCTAATCAAACGTAAGGATGCATGACAACCAGTTTACAATCACTGCTCTAGATCCAATCGCTGCAGTCATTCTGCAGGCCGTCCACTATATTTCTAACACAAGTCATTTATTGCACAACAAATCAATCCATATTTGTGATCAAGATTTCCGATTTGTACAATATTCAAAAACAAATCCAATTCCTCTAAGTTCTGCAAAGCCTAGGAGAGCTATATCAAATGCACGAACCACTTCAAATATATCAATGTAGGAAATATCACAGCTTTACGTGAAATCTGGAAGAAAGTTTTCCTAGCTGCATTTCAATAATTTAGGGTCTAGAATTACTACATTTAAAACGCATTTGTACAAATAATGTAAATATGTATTAAAGTGTAAATGTGAAGTATGATAGGAAATAAAAAGTTGTGACGTACCTTGACTTGTACAATACTGAGACCGTTCATCCAAGCCACGAAGCGAGACAGAGTCGTCTTACCAGCACCACTCACTCCAATCAGCAACAAGTGACCCTATCGACAAAAATATAAGGATTAAAGAAAATGACCATGCGCCGGACAGCGAACATTTAACAATGTATTACAGAGGTTTACCTCTTCCATCATGTACAAAGTTGAAGATCAATTGCCTTCCAGTGACAAACAAGATTTGTTGACTGTTGTGACGAAGGACATAGTTTTTTGTCTATACCAGAGAGGTGCACAGTGCCCATCATGAAATCAGGGATGTTGTGAATCTTTGTTGGGGGAAAAATACATATCTCACATCAGAGCAGTCAACGGCCGTTTTCCTTCCGGTCATAAGACTGAGAGATTGCAGTGCTGTTTGGTAGTGCGAACAGCACTGCGTAGAACACATGTGCATGCCCTAAACTCTGCAATGTCCATTTCAGACATAAATGACGTCCAACACTGTGCACAAAACTTGTCACAGGTTGTCTTAGAGACAGGAAAGGTGACATTTCTGGACCAACGAAATTACAGTTCTCAGTCCACATCATAAACAATGATCTTCAAACCAAGACAGGCTTGCTTGCTTACCTGTGGTTGTCTGAAGATACGATCGATTCTCAGCACATGATCTAGGACTTCATTGAACAACACCAAGGGTACGTCCAGTTCTTCCTCATAGAACACCTGCGGGTAGAAATGCAGAGTTCAAGACATATCAGTCCTCTATTTTCCCAAGGGGGTAATTGCAAGGTCAGTGTGCTTTATGGAAAACATCATACGGTATTCACCCTACCCCCTAGGGTGTATGTAAAATCATTTAGGGCTGTTAGGGCTAGCATTCATACAAGGGTAGAGAATGTATCCCGTTAAAATTATGTGTGTGGTTATGCATGTTTGTACAAATATGCTAGCCAGTTGATGCCACACCACCAATGTGCTGCTGAGTCAGATGGCTATTCGCGTTGCTGTTTGATAGGCCTTAACAATAACAAAAAATAAATAAAGAATAATCCTCAAAGAGAATGTGAAAACAATTGATGGGGTGAAATCTGACAAGTATGGTACTCACAATGGAGAAGTATACAACACTGTAAACAATACTGAGTGTATCCTTGTGATTTTTCTAATACGCTTCACATGGTATAAAGATGTAAAACAGTGCCCCAGTTAAACTTCATCTTTTATTCCTTGCTTTCTAAACCAATAACATGCACAGGTTGTAGTCCTTTTCAAAGTGATACCAAACTTGGAGTCTCTCAATTTGAATCCAACTACACCAAAGAAACACAATACAGTGAGCTGTGCCTAACCTTGAGCCTAGCTTTGACATAATCCCTCAGCTCTTCTTGCTCCACTGGGATGTAGTCCTTGGACAGCCAGTTGCTGAAGAGAATGGGCCTCTTCAGTGCCTCACCCTTGTTGATGTTGGGGAAGTGCTTGGTGGCGATCGCGTCGACGTTCTCGTCAGTCCACTGGCGTTCCTCATCTTCAACAAGCCTGGAATGGATCCATCAATTAATCAAGGATTTTGTGAACTCGTTTTTACAGAGTCTGTGAACAACATAAAACTTTCAATACAGAGAACAGGTGCCAGCCACTTCTGAAATGAAGACTAATGATGAGAAAAATGAGAAAACTTAAGACATTCTTCTGGCTGATTTACAATATAACATTATCCAATGATAAAACCTGAAACAATACAAAACCAGACATGGAGCAACATCCAATCTTCTAACCCCTCCCTCACGAACAGAGAGAACAAATGTTAGAAGAAACTGAAGATACCTGTCTTGGAAGAGACGCAGTGCCTCATGGGCCCAGATGCGCACCAGACCTTCCACAGACAAGTTCTCTAGAGGGCGCAATGCTTCTACTATACCACGCACCCAACGAGTCATCTCACGAGGGCTGTAGATGTAATGTGGCTGCATGTCCTGGGTGAAGCGTTCCTATTTGGTGCGATAAGGCAAAGAATGGGGCAGGATTTTATCAATGTTTTTGCGTTACACCTGCAGCAAAGATAGTAATTAGCTTACAGATACACAGCCCATGGAGTAGAAAGCATTCCACATGTAATTGCACAAGCATAAACACTGGACTGGTAATCTTTAATATGTCAATCAATCTGTTTCAAACAGGATTATATCTTGATAACACTTCTGTTAGGCTAAGTAATCTTTCTGTTTCACATCCTAATGAAGACAAAACATGGATTCTCCCCTTTATAGATTAGCACGTCAACTGTGACTTGAACACTAAAGATGCAAATGCTAAAAACATAGATTTCAGTGCCAGGTGACTGTCTACATGATAAATCTTCACGGCTAGTAAAGATAAACAACCAAACTCTATCAAATTACAGATATGTGGTTCTGCATGCGGTCAACAAATATACTGCAGCATGTTAAGTCAATCCCTGGCTACTATGCCCCCTCCAGAACAACACGAGCGCTGGCAGAAATGTGTCACTTCAGGTTGCCTCCAGTGACATAAGTAAAAAAACCATACAGAGGTAAGTTATGTAGTAGATTTATGGGGACATTTTCCTGCTGTGCATTTCCTGGGGTAATCCAAAGATGAATGCATCTCAAAGCACATCTAAACATTCTGCAGTGGGTCCACTCTGCATGACAAGAGTTCTCCTTACTTGCGACATTGAGTAGAACTCCACCATGGCGTTAGTGAGTGGCTCGGCATAGGTGCGTAGGCTAGGGATGAGTCGCAGCATGGCACGGTTGAATGTCCCATAGATCTGGGCCAAGGAGGCTGGACCTGGGTAGTCTACGTACACCACTGGAACGTGGCGCAGGAATCTAGACACAAAGTCACACATTAAATACATCTCACTGTCACCAAGAGTGGAAGTATGTTTGCTTGCTCATGAAAATATGTAATAAGTAACAGGGAAACCTTCTTCCCAAAGACTCAAGACAAATGCTCTAAGACACGGCCTTTCCAATAAGGTTTCTGTGTACATGAATACATTGATCCCAGCTTAAAAAACTTCCCACCAGTCCGTCTCTGCTTCATGACTGCGGGGGTGCTTCTAGTCAGTGCAGATACATGCACTGGTTGGCATCACTTGGGTTGACTGGCATAGATCCCCACATGGGTTGCCATTCTCACTTGGGACCTACCTGTGTGAGAGTGGCTTCCTACCGGGGTCAGTGGGAGGGTTGCAGGCCCCCACGAACTGGATCCGCTCAAAGGTGATCCACATCTGGTCAGACGTGCGGTAGAAGCCACCGTGCTCCAGCATTTGACGCAGGAAAGAGATTACCCGCTGTGTGCCTGCAGGTGAAAAGCAAGACAACTCATGCTACAAGGCAATCCTCTGACCCTACAACCAGACTCCTGAAATTGTTCAACTGACAACAAGCCAAAACTTGTTGGTCATAATGGTGAGCATCCTAGGAGGCTATCATGAGCCAATTTCATTTCTGTGGTAAACAGAAACAATTCAAAGTGTGGAGCACCTTATTGAATATTCTGCATTAACTTCTATGAGGTAGTTCTGAGCTGAAGAGGCTCCATTATTTTGGCCTGAGACTGACTGGCAATAATACTCATGCTACAGCAGGTGATGCTAATGTTGTCTATAATGAACACTAGATTATCCCAGGACTTGGATGTGATCCTCACACATATGATTGGATGTCTTACCGTATTTGTCCATGTCTGGCAGATTGATTTCATCACAGAAGACCACAAGCCACTTGTTGAGTTGGATGGGGGACAAGACGATCCCACTCGGTGTCCGCTTGTATTCGCAGTAGTGATCCAATGTCTTCAACATCAGCTCTGGGGTGGTAGCACTGGAGAAGTTCAGACCAACAACCTGTAAAAAAGCCAACAGAAAGGAAGGTAAAAAAATCACAGCAAGGCCACTTTATTTTCTCTGATTTTCAACCTGATCTTTCAGTTTTGTGTGATATGTTCACACATCAGGTATCTCGCACTATTTGAATGCACAAAAGCTTTACTGGCGCCTATTCCAGTGATACAAAACTCTTGCCCTCCGAGGACGCGTTAACGCACAGCCTCTCATGCAACCTTTTGGGGCTGGGTTTGAGTATTGCTTTAATTTTTGTTCAATTTCAGACAGGTGAAACATGACATTACTGACTACGCAGAGTAAAGACAATGAATGATTGGTCTGTGTTATCAACTGTTACATTGGAAGGGAACCTGTCTCTCAACTACTTGGAACATATTATGGGTCATACTACCCTGCATGTGCAAGCTAGGAATACAAATTGCCATCTCTGGATGCAGTGTTTAGATGTCATGTTCTTATGTGGGAAAGTTTCTTAGCGAATACCTCACATTACATGTGCACCTTTGCTCATTAGGAAGAACAGAAGTATTTCTGAATGATATCTCAAGAGAATGAGTGAAAAGAATTCTTGAAGTTGGGGAATGAAAAATTTCTAAGAGTTTGTAAGGAAAACGAGGGCAAACTAAGTAGTAGCTACACGGAATTCAATTGTGCTAATGAGTCCTCATTCATTAACTGCCCCAGGGTGGCGAAATGCAATCAGAAAAAATTCTTGGCCAAGAAAAATGTAAACTCCATGACACTACTTGGGTTTGAACAAGCACAGCGCCATATGTCATCCACCATAATTATTCCAAATGAAATTCATTCCAAATGCAATGCGTGACTACTGACCTCCATGTCTGGCAGGGCTCGGAGGGCACTGAACAGCGTCATGGTTTTGCCACTACCTGGTGGCCCACAGAGCACCATGGGCTTGTGCTCAGCTAGCCAGGTGTACAGTAACGCTTCGTGCCGCACGGTGTCCAGGGTCGGCACCACCACGTCAGGGGAGGCCACCTTGTGTGTTTCCACTTCAATCTGGGGCACCTTGTTCTGCCAAGGACTCCAGTCACCGGTGATGCTGACCTGAGGGGACGTGGGAGGAGTCAAAATAAGCCAATGGGTGTTTGGTTTTGATCCTACTTCATTTCAGCAGGCAAAAAGACAACAGTTGGATTGAAACACGCTGCAACTGTTGCTAAATTCTGTTGTGGTAAATATGTTACCAACAACTGTTTCAAAATTTTGTGGGTAACTCGACCACTATAAAAAACAACTTATCTGATCCAATTTTAAGTTGCATTAAACTCTGATGAAAATGAATGCTAGTCGGAGAACTTTTAAGCATTTAGTGAAGATCCAACCTCATAATCAATGATAGCCTGTTGTGAAGCAGGAGGCAGCGGGATGGTGGTGATACTACGAATGAAATCTCCCATGTCATGACGAGCCTTCATCTTACTGTCACCAGTGAAGGACCACAGAATGGAGTAGATCATGTAGTTGGTGATGTACTTCTCCATTTGTTCCCGCTGTGATGGAAGGCAGATATAAAAAACCCTTATTGAAATGAAGAGAGTCAATGCATACAAATGGCATTAAGACAACAACTTGTGCAAGCCCAAGTGATGGTTACATTTATTCTAAACAGCTAAAATTCAGGAAAAGCCAAAAGCCAACACACCCTGTTAAAAAAAATTCTGGACGCCTTCCTATCATATTTTTACTGGTATTGACAAGAAAACAAAATCTGGGAACAAAAGGAAAAAGGTAATGCAATTTTGACCCCAAGATATTCCAGAGTTTACCTTGCAATAAATCTAGCTCATTTGGCCAATGATAAGATCATAACCTTTAAAGCTACAATATCTCAACATTAAACACCTTCAGAGTAAATAAAGACAACAGGTCAGCTTCCAAGGCTATACTCTCCATCATTACTGTACCTGCATTGGGAAGTCATGATGGGTGTTGTTGTATTGCAGAATGTTGCGAACTCCCTGGTTCAGCATTGAGAAGAGTGAGCCTAGGGCTCTCAGTCTGGTGAAGTCCATGATGTGCTCCTGGGTGAAGGCATACTCCAAGGTACGGATGACCAAAGCGTCGGAGGTGAAGTGTGGGGCCAGGATGTTAGCACAGTCAGTCTGGATCTAAATTATGGACATGGTAGTGAAAACGAAAAGCAAGCATAGATTCAATTAGTAGAAACGCATTCAATTTATTTTTGATTGACAGGAAAAGAGGCTAAGTAGTCAGGATGTCCCAGACACAGCAGGATGTTTCATATCAAACTGCCTTGTAGGACATGGCCCTAGTCGGGGACACGGTATAGATTCCAATACTTAGACTTGGCCAAGATTCAAAGAACTAACCTCAGACATGTGTAAAATGGCATCCATTGACTTGTTAGACTCGGCACAAAATAGAAAAATGCAGATACATGCCCCAAAATTACCAACCCTGAAATGTGCTAGTGTTGGCTTTTCTGAAGAGAAGGCGTTGCCTTTCACTGGCTTAGAAGATATCCAACAATTCAAGTAAACTCTTCACTTATATCCAACACAGTGCTCTTAAAGTTCACAGCACCATCTAGTTCACACAGTGTAAAGCCCCGGCTAGCTGATGTACACCAGTACCAACCTGCATGAGGGGGGATATTATCCCATCCTTGTCCTTGTCAGTACCCTTGCTCAACTCCTTGGTGGGGACCAGGTCCTCAGACTCCTCCAGAGGAATATGGCGCATGCGGGCCAGGAAGCTCTCACAGACAAGCTCCGTACTGAGCACATCCTCGCTAAACCATACCATGCCACAGCGGCTGACGGTAGCCAAGGTGGCAAAGCGCAGGTCCTGCACTTCAAACATGATGCGCACCTGCATTTTGGGTTGACCAAAAATAGGACACATCACAGATTCTCCTGACGGTAATCTTGTAAGCAGTGAAGCAACAGTTTGTGGGGAATCCACTTCTGTGAAGATCAACCGCATCTTGTTGGCAAGTCTCTCCAACCGCAAAATGTCTTGCTTGAAACAATTTTTCAGAAGATTGACAGGTTTTACTTGCATTTTTTCAAAGGCATGCCAGGACAGAATAAACAAAGTTATACTTGGAAAAGTACTATTACATGAGAATTCATACATGACTATGTCACTTGAATACATGAAAATTACATTGTAAACAAAGTTGCTCCAGCTTTGAAAATGTATCGTTTGTATGTGTAATTTCCCAGTACTGCATGAAAAGACTACGAGGTTTGGCCAGTAGTCTTGGTATTCTGTCCTATTTACTCAGATGGGAAGGAGACAAAGTTGTAGCTTACATTGTGAGGTAAGCTCAGACGTTCTCCATTGGGCAAGGTCAGCAGCTTGTTGTCGTCTAGCACGCTGTTCAGGTTCTCCACCCACTCTGGGTCCACATCACCGTCAAAGATAATCCACTGTCTCTTGTTGATCTCACCTCGGACGTTGTCTATGATCCTGCCGAGAACCAAGGAGGGTGTGATTGGTTTGGGGTAGAATTATGGGAGGAAACAAACGCCTCCTGGTGGCCATCACGGAAATTATGCCCAAGAAAGAGTATTCTCAATGAAGCTAAGATATGGCTAACTGGTTTTTCACATTGATTCAGGGAAGACCCATGCAAGTGACCTCACACTTTTTCTGCCCTTAGTTGAAGTGCACCCTCACTGGCAAAGGAGAAACAGACTGGTGGGGAGTTTTTCACCTGAGCTTATGTATGTGCTCGGTGCACACGCAAAGGCTATACATATCAACATGATTTGGTTATATGCACTCCATGTGGCCCAAGCTGAAAATGAATAGACCTGCGCACTAACGCAGTGAGTGCCCACCAAAGGACCATCATGTCCATGTAAAAGCACACCCTCTCATGTTCACGCCCGGAGCAGATAGGAATGCCAGGAGCAGGCTGCAATAGCAGTGTTTTTAGCTGGCTGTTTTATTAAGTAGAACTAAGATCTCCCTCTCAGCTGGGCTTAGATAAGACAATAAATTAGCATGGTTTTTCTGCAATACTCAGCCACTGAAAATGTGGTTAGTTGTGGGTTTATCTCATAAAGTCCTGCAAGTCTTGCCCTGAATCATGTGTCATGGCACTAGTGACTTAAAGTCAGGGGAATTCCAACTTACTTTCTGAGGATGTGTGTGAAGAGGCCGTCAGTCCATTCTCTGGTGTTGGGATCCAGATTACCATACAGGTCTTCTTTGGACATTGCCTGACAAGACAACAAACAGCATCGATCAGTATCACTCAATAATAATGTCAATGTATTATGAACTGTAGGCATGACCATTAGGTAGATCTGTGGAAAACGCTCCTTTGTGCATCATGAAGACGTTACTCTGGTTTAGAAACACTATTTACATTTCATACGGGCAGGCAGAGTTTGTGAAATTAACCCTTGGCTGACAACATCTCTGGCCTCCCAGCACATGGCTCATCCAATTTGTGTTCAAAAGGGTTTATTTCATTTGGTATTAAGTGACAGTATTACTACTTCAGCGTCTTAACACAGCTGGATGAGACTTTTGTAAGTACTTTGCTTTGGCACTGCGGCCTGCCATGATTTGCCAATAACTGGAAGGCAACAAAATCGACGGTGATGTAGCAAGAAACGTCTTTACATCACTTTGATTGCACTTGAGACTTGTGAAGACTATTATCCCTACTGCATCATGCAAGGTACAGACCATGTGTGTGAGGTAAAGAGGTAACATAGTTGGAACTGATGTTAAAACACAACGACCATGTCACTCACTTGTGAATTAAGACACCTCTAACCCTACATAGTACTATGAATTACTAGTTGTAGTAAAATGTAGTATTCAGTCCTGTTGCTTGTAAGAGGACATGACCTTATTGTTCTCTGAAGCCTTAAGATACAATAGATAAGACAATGCACCATACAGTGCTGTGGCACTATGAATGCATGGCTTTATTGTTCTCTGTACGAGTAACAATGGAAGGAACCTAGCCAGAAGTAGTAATCTGTAGCGTTAGGTCCTTCAGGCTCAGACTATTACTTGGTATTTTGTAGTGCTGTGTAGTGTAAGCCAAACAATCTGCTTGGTGGTTAGGGTTAATCGAAATGTGAAAAAGTGGGGATTGAAAAAACACTCTCTTTTTCAAAATTATTCCACTATCCATCCAAGAACACAAGACAAACTGGAGCAAAGCCAAAATCCTCACAAGCATCAAGCATTGGCATCCACGCTGCATCAGAGAAGCCATCGATACCATCAAGAACAACACAGTACCACAGGACATCGCTCCTGACGACGGAGAGAGCATACTCTCTGAAACGTTGAGTACCACCTGTTCTTTTCAGAACCCCACATACTAAAAAAAAATATATCCATGGTGCTACCGCAAACCTATCTAGTTTACTTACTATCCATCTGTTTAAAAACAAGTGTCTACTGGAACAGCACTTATGGTTGCATAAATCCCTTGAGGATAAATGCCAAGTAAGGCTTCACCTCTGGTATGTTTGCCACACTGCATCACAGCAGCAAACAAAGCTGTATTTTAGTGATGGTGGGGCAGTATATTACCTTGGGGTCAATGACATGAGCAACTCCTTCCATCCCCTCCAGTCTCTCTAGGGCCTTGAGTAATGCCTTCCAAGCCATACTCTTACCACTGCCGCTAGGACCAACCATCATCAAGCCGTGGTTCAAGTTGGAGATTTGGTAGAGCTGCAGCACCTGTGGAGAGAGGGGAGAAGATTTCACCAACAACCTCATAATGCGCCACTGCTTTCAACTCTTCAAAAACCAGAGACAAAATGTCATTTCACAATCTGCTCCGAGCGGAACAAAAGAGGGCGTTTTCTGGTACTCACCACAAAGGCGCACCATGAGACGTGCAAATATATGCGTGTTTGACGCGAAGCACGCTGAGTACGCCTAACTAACTTATTCCGGCATGTATGGTCTTTGCGTACATGCAGAACACGTGCAAGAACCTGTTTGTAACCACATGTGTTTCTGTCACCGATTGGGGGTGCACTTCAGCTTGGGGCCGATACCGAAACTGATCTACGTTGAAGCTCACAACTGGAAGGTGTGAACTTGTGAAACAATCCATTTACATACATTGCATCAAAAATATGTAAAATCACGATGTCATCTATTCTATCACGTGTACTTTATCTACATACTTTGCTTGAATGAGACAAATCGATTATCCTTTTTGTAAGCACGCAGCTTTGAAATTCAGACATGCTTGCTCTCTATACAAAGCTCACCCTAAATTTCAGCTCCCATCTTACAAATGCTACAGAATTTACAAAGACCTTTTCAAACCTCTTGAAGCATTTCAATCTTTTCATACCCTACAGGTCAAGTCCACGAAAAGGTCCTCTTTTTGTCCCACACCAAGTTTTCCTTCTAAAAGACAAGTGAAGTAAAAAATCTTGTGGAATTTGCCATCCAGACACCCAACAGTCATGGACTTGCATTACACTCCAAGAACACAAGGCTACACAGGAACACATGGCAACGGTTTACAATACACTGTTTGCCTTGAGGAGACAAACTTTTTCAGTTTATAGTTGCCATCTTGCACATTATTTTTCAGTGCACACTCAATCAGTTATTCTCCTCTGTTCTCTGCGCTGTATCACACTAACACTTCTTGTTACTCACATACAAAAATTGACTTTAAAAAAATGTACTGTCCTCAGATAAAAGAAATGTTTGGAAGTGGATTTTCCCCACGATGCATTATGAAGGATAGCCACTGTACGATAACCTCTTTGTGATGGATAGGAAGTACTTCTTGTCTGCTACTCAGTGAGCTTGCCTGCTGTTCACTACCTAGTCATGGGAGAAGCCAGGACTCCTTACCTTTTGCACCCACTGTGTACCCATCTCATCTCCTTCACCGTAGGTCAGATACATCTCCTGGCACACCTTGGCCAGCTCACGCCTCAAACCCTTCATCTCAGCCTCAGTGTACTGGACACCAGGGAAGACATCTGACAGCAGACTGTGGAGCAAGGGGATGTCCTCGGCTACCAGCTTGGGTACCATGGTCTCGCACACACTCTGGATCAGGATCTACAAGGAACAGAAAGCAAAGGATGGCTATCGAGGCTGCTGTTTCTGGCAACATCCAAAATCAAAATAAAGTTGATACAGAACCAAAGCCAACTAAAAAAAAGTGTCTCACAACTGGGGCGTCTCTAAACAAACTGGTGCCTTCTAAAATCTTGAATATACATCATTCCCTGCGGACACAGCTGAAGGGTAACTCTTGATGCATGTCTTCACAAGAATTCTAATAGGGCATTCCAAACAGAGCTATGTCCCGAGTTTTTGAAGACTTTCCCTTGATAAAGCGACCACCCTTTCATAAAATGTCAGGAGACATGTCCCATTGTCATCTCTGGTCAATTGTGACCTACAGCTATAATCCAATCCAAGGTTTTAACATCCAGCATCATAAGTATAAGACCTCGCACAAGTCATAAGATGCACGAAACACAACACTGTACTTGGTCATCTAATAAAGCAGTGCTTAGTAGTGTGCAAATTGACCGTGACTAACATTCTGACAGCTTAGAAATCCTAGCCCTACTTCTAAATCGGAACATTTCTTCAGACATTTATGCTCCCCTCCTCCTCAAGAAAGAAAACTCCTCAAGGTGCAAATCAGTGCCCACCTCTTGCTCAGGCAAGCCTTCAGAGATGGTCCCCTCATCCACCTTCTCTCCACGCTCAGCCAGCCCTTCCTTGATCCTCTGGATGCGATCTCGCTTGACATTACCAGCGCTGACCAGGACACTCTTGAGAGCACGCAGGCCAAAATCATAGTGAGACTGTGATGACAGTTGCTCGTCGCACAACCTGAGAAAGCAACGATGGTGGTTTACTCCAGTTTGTGATATGATATGCTGGCGATTCTTTGGGATGGAATGGTCATGTGTCACATTCATATCTGTACCAGTGAATGTGACGCTGCAAGCATTGCATAACCAGGATACACCACTAGCAATGTGTCATGCCTTTACCTCAGGTGCCAAGCGTACAAGGTAAAAAATAAATGTCTTGCATCTCAGCAGTCAACAAGTCTCAAAGGTAATGTTCCTGGTAGATATATTTCTATTTAGCTAGTTTTTGTTCTGAATGCTAGCCATGAAGAATGCATCATCCTTCCAGCGTAACTGTTTTTAAAACCAGTGTTTTCATAAGAAATGTAATATTATATTAATTACGATGATGCCCATGCCAATTTATTGATCAGAATATTAAAGGGCTCCTTACTGGAAGAAGGGCACAATCTTGGAGGCCAGTTTCTCAGCCATACGGAAGCCCTGGGAGTACAGCATGACTTGGGCAATCAGCTGCCTGTCAGGCTTGGTCATGGCCAGGGAACGGAAGAGCTTCTTTAGGTTGTCAGGCAGGTTGGAGCGGCCGGCATAGCCAGGGTTCATGGTGATGAAGATGGCCATGTCTGGGTTGACACGCACCTGCTTGCCCACAATCTCAACACTGATGCGCTCTAGAAATTGCAGAGGCAAAAGGATGTTTCATTAAAACTCGATTGTTCACATGATCATTCGATCTGAAAGGTTACTTTTAAAAGTATCTATATTTATTCAGGCTGTTATAATTGGATAAAAACTGCTCATCAAGGAATCATTCTGCTAAGCCATCTACGCTTTGATTACAGAAGTGTTTTACGAACCAGTTCCAGAGAATGTCAGCACAATCATGGTAATCTATTATGAGGGAGTAGCTGTTCTCTGAGCCTCTGATGGTGCAGGGAATACCTAATTCCCCATTTGTTTTGGACACACAAAATGTCCAAGGAGTCTGTGGAGGTGAGTGATATGTTGAACTCATCCCCTGTACAAGGCCCGTGTTGAAGAAAATATCGTTCCATGGCAGGACCAATGACGTACAAATGACTTTTAGTAGTAAGTATTTGTGGTGTTTTTCATTTGTGACTGCACATCAAAAATTAGCCAATATACCTTGCCTTTCTTGTTACATTTGTTAAACTTTTGCCAAAATAATACCGCTGGCAAATGTTTGAATCAGCTTAACACAGGAGAAATGAGTTTTACCACGGACCATTTACCCAGGGATGTGCAACTTAAGCTCAGAGCTGGTTCAATGCGTGTTCCGGCCGGCACAATATCAAAGCAGAAATTAAGTGGGATTATGTAACACTTTCTCTAATAATAAAACATATATTCCTGTCTATCACTTTGTTTTCTTGTTATATTTTAAGTCAGGGTACACCCTTTCTAAAAATATTTAGAAACGAACACGATTCAAGTGTGACTTTGCTGAAAGCTTTATATGATGTCAATTCACTTCACAACTGCATTTACAAATCCAGATGAGTCAGCATTCATTCCAAGTTCACAACCTGAGTCTTTCAATCTCAGCTTAGAATATTATTCCCTCTCCCTGTCCTTAAGTTGCTTCCAGGACCTTGGTTTCGTCAGAGTGACAGGGTTACCTTTGGATTTGGTCTCGCCCAGTTTCTCCTTGAGTGCCTCCTGGATGGTCTGGATCTGCTGAGACACAGCTGACAACATCCTCTCCTCCAAACGATTGAACTCATCAAAGCATCCCCAGGCTCCCACTTGGCACAGACCCACAAAGATGCGACCCATGGCCTGGGCAAAAGGGAACATTCCAAAGTAGGCTGAGACTGCTCAGCAAGAAGATGCCATGGCCAAATTGTACATGATATGTCTATTTCATATCAAGATCCTTGGGTTGCTTTAAAGTTTTCTCTAACATAGGTGATGTTGGGTGAAAGGTAGTATACGATCCTGG